GCAAATCATTTCAAGCCAGCGCAGCAAAGAAAAAAAAACGACTCATCACAAAGTTTTACCCTTTGATTTTGATCTCACCCTTCCCCAAAAATTCGTTTACTAAAGTTGAGAAACAGGACGTTTAGAATATTCGTGCTGATTCGTGCTGATTCGTATCGTAACTGAACTGAACTGAACTGAACTGAATATTCTTTACAAATGAATTATTTCCCGTGCATCCCAAAAATTACGACATTTAGTAGGGCACCGTAATAGTAACACGGAAACCTTTTCTTCTTTTATATATGTTAAAAAAAAATAATGTTTTTCAAATTATCAAGTTCAAATCCCGTTAACACATATAACAAATGGATCACAGCATATATATAAGAAAGGTTCGTAGTTTTTTATGCAATTTCCTTATTTGTATTTCTTAGGTCAAGATTTACAAGGCTTTTTGTAATAAATGAAACACAGGCATGACTTTCCATTATAAAAACTGAACACAGATTTTTCATCTATTCTTAATTTTTAACGTTAACGTTAACTGGAGTGACGACAAGTGGAGATAACCACCACAATTCTTAAAACACTTACCCAAAATATTCTTTACGACCAGTTTCTTTGGGTCTGATTCATTTCGTCGACAATCATTTCATCGACAGTCATTTTGTCGACACCAATTTTGTTGAAAGTTTGTTTTGTTGAAAGTTTGTTTCATCGAAAGTTCATTTTGTCGAAAGTTCATTTCGTCGAAAATTATTTCGTCACAAAAAAAAAAACTTCATTAAACAAATTTCTCCTCACACTTCACACACACTCCGCTTTCCTCACCTAATTTCTTAACTAACTTCCCACACTCCTCACATCTAACTCGTTCGGTCTCTGGCTCGAGGATGAAATAATTTTTGACGAAATGAACATTCGACAAAATGAACATTCGATGAAACAATCATTCGACGAAATGAACATTCGACGAAATGAACATTCGACGAAATGAACATTCGATGAAACAAACTTTCGATAAAACAAACTTTAGACGAAATGGGTGTCGACGAAATGATTGTCGACGAAATAATTTTCGACGAAAGTAAACGCGACCGATTCAGAAGTGAGTTGAAAAAGGAAAAAAATAAATTCCAAGTCATGTGCCCATTTAAATTTATCATTGGTCGAAATTATGACAAATTAATTTTACAAATAATTTTTTTAATTTTAAAAATGACAACATACGAAGATATTAAAAACGATAAAGAAAAGGCTGAGAAGGAGTTATGAGAAGGCGGAGAAGGGATTGGATAAATTTATGAAGGAGGGGAATTTGAAAAGTTATATGGAATTATGGGGAATGGAGGAGCTAAAGAAGGAGAGATTAGTAAAGGATAAAGACGACTGGAAGGAACAAGCGCTGTATCTGCAAAAAAAATTAGCTAATTTTAATGAAAAAGGTAATGGACAAATTGCGTAAAAAATATATGCAAAAAATTAATTTCCATTCATTCCATTTGTTTGTTTCTTGGCATACTGTTATTAAATGCGAATTGTTATCATCAAATTTCAATTCTTTGTTGAATCATTTTTCTTCTTGTTTGTTAATTATATTGAATATGCTTTCTTGATATCCATTAGAGCTCATAAGAGAGACCTATCGCAGAAGAAGAAAGTAAGAAATGTGTGATAGAAACTTGGTATCATACTTATATGTTTCATTCCATCATTCTTACGAATTTTTCTCTACAGCTAAAAGATCAAAGAGAATAAATGGACGGTTAATTGTACAATTATGAAAGAAGAACGTTCTATATCCTACTTTACTGATCTAGAGGGAAATGGACCACTTTTTGAGATGATCATTCAGAAACGTGAATATGTGGTACTGTATGGTGCACGGGCTTCTGGAAAGTCCAACGATTTTAGGGAACTATTGAGTCGTAAAGGATACATTTGCATTTAGTAAGTTGGATTCTCTTTTAAGCACATTTCATGAAGTTTAATGGTTTCTTCTATTTTTTTTATTTTTTTATTTGGAACAGTGTGAGTCTTGAGCTGGTTAATGCAACAGATACCGTGAAAGTGTTCTGGGTATCATTTGGAATTTGTCTCACTCATGATATTTCTGAAAATAATAATCTCAAATCTATCAGTGTTTTTGAATCCGTTGGAGATTTGCATATCGAATCTGCTATTGATTTCATTGACATATTTAACAAAAGCAAGTGGAAAAAATAATATTGTTCTCTTCATTGATGAGTTTGATAAACTGTATGATTTGAATATAGATGTTAAATTCTCATGCCTAGAAACTCTTTATGGCATTAAAAATGCAAAAGAAAACTATGCTTTCTGGTCCATGGTCGACATTGGGACTTTTGGTATTATATACCTTGAATCAGGAAAGGTGTCTACATCACCACCATTTAATATTCGTGAGCCATTCCTGAAGCATTTAAAACCTGATGCTCATATTCTCTATCATAATCTAATGGAACTAAATCAGGATTGCTATCAATGATTTCTTTTGCTCCAATTCCAATTGTATCAATTATCTCTTGAAAATATTGTACAACTTCATCACTGTTGCCAGTTTT